ATTTTTTATTTTACTGTGCTTAGTAGCCGAGGCTATATGGCTACGCTATTAACTTGTTAATTTAGCAGACATTACTAAAAATATAATGGAAAAGAACAGAACATTTTTGTTTCTCTTAGAATAAAAACCTTAGTATAACAACAGTTTTATTAAGTAATAAGCTACAGTCCAGTTGCAGCTGCTTCTGACAAAGTAGAAACAAGTGCCTTTTTTTTGTGTTTGTGCACGTGGGACAGAGGAAGAGCAATTCTTACACTATTGTTCTTAATTCAATCACCCTCTTCTTCGTCATCCTCATCATTCAGTTAATTCAAATTCAATTGTAATACATTTTGTACCTCCAATTCAACTCCAAATTGTTTTTGCCTGCTCTCCAAGGTGATAACTTGAAATAACATGATATAGGTTAATTCAATAATCGAAAGGAAAAATTTGATTATTTATTAGCCTAGTGGAAAGTATTTTAGACATACAGTTGAAGTTGGAAGTTTACATACACTTAGGTTGGAGTCATTAAAACTAATTTTTCAACCACTCCACAAATTTCTTGTTAACAAACTATAGTTTTGGCAAGTCGGTTAGGACATCTGCTTTGTGCATGACACAAGTAATTTTTCCAATAATTGTTTACAGACAGATTATTTCAATTATATTTCACTGTATCACAATTCCAGTGGGTCAGAAGTTTACATACACTAAGTTGACTGTGCCTTTAAACAGCTTGGAAAATTCCAGATAATGATGTCATGGCTTTAGAAGCTTCTGATAGGCTAAATGACATAATTTGAGTCAATTGGAGGTGTACCTGTGGATGTATTTCAAGGCCTACCTTCAAACTCAGTGCCTCTTTGCTTGACATCATGGGAAAATCAAAAGAAATCAGCCAAGACCTCAGCAAAAAAATGTGTAGACCTCCACAAGTCTGGTTCATCCTTGGGAGCAATTTCCAAACGCCTGAAGGTACCACGTTCATCTGTACAAACAATAGTACGCAAGTATAAACACCATGGAACCACGCAGCCGTCATACCGCTCAGGAAGGAGACGCTTTCTGTCTCCTAGATATGAACGTACTTTGGTGCGAAAAGTGCAAATCAATCCCAGAACAACAGCAAAGGACCTTGTGAAGATGCTGGAGGAAACAGGTACAAAAGTATCTATATCCACAGTAAAACTAGTCCTATATCGACAGAACCTGAAACGCCGCTCAGCAAGGAAGAACAACAGCAACTGCTCCAAAACCGCCATAAAAAAGCCAGACTACGGTTTGCAACTGCACATGGGGACAAAGATCGTACTTTTTGGAGAAATGTCCTCTGGTCTGATGAAACAAAAATATAACTGTTTGGCCATAATGACCATCGTTATGTTTGGAGGAAAAAGGGGGAACACCATCCCAACCGTGAAGCACGGGGGTTGCAGCATCATGCCTAAAAACCTGACTCAATTACACCAGCTCTGTCAAGAGGAATGGGCCAAAATTCACCCAACTTATTGTCGGAAGCTTGTGGAAGGCTACCCGAAACGTTTGACCCAAGTTAAACAATTTAAAGGCAATGCTACTGAATACTAATTGAGTGTATGTAAACTTCTGACACACTGGGAATGTGGTGAAATAAATAAAAGCTGAAATAAATAATTATTCTGACATTACACATTCTTAAAATAAAGTGGTGATCCTAACTGACCTAATACAGGGAATTTTTACTAGGATTAAATGTCAGGAATTGTGAAAAACTGAGTTGAAATGTATTTGGCTAAGGTGTATGTAAACTTCCACCTGCATCATGTGAATTAGTCCTCATGTAAAATAATTGTCAAAAGCGCAAGAGATACTGCTGCATGACAAAGGTGCTGTTAGATTACAGTGTACATTATCTGCCCCTTTGGAATAGTGTAAACAACACTAAATAAATTATAAGTAATACCAGAGTCTGTTCTTATGAAAACAAATTCTGAAGCCTTTATTATAGCAAAGTTTAAAAACAGCAAGATGTTTAAAATTGCTTTCTGACATTTTGCGGTTGCATATAGCTTGGTGATCACAGAATCAGTAGGATATTAAATAAACACTCAAATAGGCAACAGAAGCAGGAACAGAAGCATAGGGCTGAGTGACTCACTCATTCCTGGCTTTCGTTCAAAATAAGTTATTTTATAATGCAGGGTTAATGACACAAGAACTCTCTCCTCTCGCTACAGCTCACTTCGTTTTAATTATTATGTAGATTATAATAAATTGACATTTGTAGGGGTTGATGCGTTTTTCGTTAGGGCAATTCAGGTCTGTGATATTGTTAGAAATGTACAACTTTAGAGGACTTAAGCCTCGAATACATTGCAAGTTTGCCCTTTTTGGCCATTAGACTACACTTTACAATAGGACTCAACTCTGACTGACTGCAGCATCTATCGGTAGTCTAAACTGTGGCACAAATTGGGGGAATTTTCACACCTAGCCTAGCTATTAGACTATGCTTTTGTAAATTGATGGAGGTGTGAATGTTTCTGTCAGTGTTTCCTCTCGCGCTAGATCAGGCAAAAAAATCAGCTGGCGGGAGGTCCCGGAGTTGAGCGAGAACTTGGGTAAATACAATGGCGCAATTACACTTGTGGATTTTCGAGAAATAGGATACTTGTGCCTTACAACCCATTGCGTAAACGAAGAGTGGGTGTTATCCACCACAAAGTGGGACAGTGCAGCTCAAGATTGCAGGTAACAGGGCAGCTATTGTGATGGTGCTAGTTTCCTCCAGACGTGACGCTTGGCATTCAGGCCAAAGAGTTAAATCTTGGTTTCATCAGACCAGAGAATCTTGTTTCTCATTTTACATTTTAGTCATTTAGCAGACGCTCTTATCCAGAGCGACTTACAGTTAGTGAATAAATTTTTTTATTTTATACTGGCCCCCCGTGGGAATCGAACCCACAACCCTGGCATTGCAAATGCCATGCTCTATCAACTGAGCTACATCCCTGCCGGCCATTCCCTCCCCTACCCTGGACGACGCTGGGCCAATTGTGCGCCGCCCATGAGTCTCCCGGTCGCGGCCGGCTGCGACAGAGCCTGGATTCGAACCAGGATCTCTAGTGGCACAGTTAGCACTGCGATGCAGTGCCTTAGACCACTGCACCACTCAGGAGACATGGTCTGAGAGTCCTTTAGGTGCCTTTTGGCGAACTCCATGAGGGCTGTCGTGCCTTTTACTGAGGAGTGGCTTCCGTCTGGCCACTCTACCGTAAAGGCCTGATTGGTGGAGTGCTGCAGAGATGGTTGTCCTTCTGGAAGGTTCTCCCATCTCCAGAGGAACTCTGGAGCTCTGTCAGAGTGACCATCTGGTTCTTGGTCACCTCCCTGACCAAGGCCCTTGTCCCCCGATTGCTCAGTTTGGCCGGGCGGCCAGCTCTAGGAAGAGTCTTGGTGGTTCCAAACGAATTATATTTAAGAATGATGGAGGCCACTGTGTTCTTGGGGGACCTTCAATGCTGCAGAAATGTTTTGGTACCCTTCCCCAGGTCTGTGCCTTGACTCAATCCTGTCTCGGAGCTGTATGGATAATTCCTTCAACCTCATGGCTTGGTTTTTGCTCTGACATGCACTGTCAACTGTGGGACATTTATATAGACAGGTGTGTGCCTTTCCAAATCATGTCCAATCAATTGAATTTACCACAGGTGGACACCAATCAAGTTGTAGAAACGTCTCAAGGATGATCAATGGAAACAGGGTGTACCTGAGCTCAATTTCGAGTCTCATAGCAAAGGGTCTGAATACTTTTGTAAATAAGGTATTTCTGTTGCAAACATTTTTTGCTTTGTCATTATGGTGTATTGTGTGTACATTGATGAGGAAATGTTTTTATTTAATCCATTTTAGAATAAGGCTGTAACGTAACATGTGGAAAAGGTGATGATCTATGAAAAAGTGAACTGCATGTTTAAGTGAAGCCTATTTCTCTGTCCAAGGTCCTGAACATGAACGTTGATAGGCCCTGCGCTACTGTGATCTCCAGACAACAGCTCTGTCCATGGTGCTAAAATTAACGAACCCCAATAGTTTGAATAAGATGAATGGACTGTCACTTTTTTTATGTTAAAATCCAAATTAATTGTCTAATTGTTATTGCTGCCTTATTGAATGTAGGCTTTATATTTCAAAATGAAATCTAATTGAATCTCTTAATGTTGATAGAGAGATTAAAATATAATGCATCGAATGTTATTTGTTGATGTAAAAAATTAAATTAGTAGTTTGATTGTTATTACTGCTTTATTGAATGTAGGCCTTATTTTTCAAAATGAAATCGATTTGAATCTCTTAAAAAGAAAAGAGAAACTCTCACACTGCTGTTGCTCGTATCACTTTGTTTATTCAAGCTCAGGTGTCTGCCTCTTGGCCTTCGTTTAATTTCCAAATAAAGTAATGTACGTGTTGTACTCTTAATGTTGATAAGATAGACAAATGTAATGAATGCTATTTGTTGATGTAAAATCGAAATGGAGGATGTTAACGTTGTCATTAGATTTGGGTTGAGGTGGGGTCACCAGAAATTCTGGAGAAAAAAAATGGGGTCCCTGATTTTAAAAAAAAGTCTGAGTACTGCTGATATAGGGGAAACACTGATATACTTAAGCAATAAGGCCCGATGGGGTGTGGTATATTGCCAATATACCACAGCTAAGGGCTCTTCTTAGGCACGACGCGAATGGACACAGAGTCAGTGGGTAGGAGGCAATTCCAGCAGTAGTTTATTATTATTTTTCTCTACAAATTTGAGTCAATGCTTCTCTTTTGCAGTGGACACGCCTCCACTAAAATTACACATTGAACCCCGAACTCCCTGCTTTTACCCAAGGAAATGTAAATGTATGATTTTTACCTCCTATCGGTACACTCAACATGACCGCCGATCCACCCGTCACTTGAACAGCAATGTCCGCTCTAGCTAGTACTTCTAACTATGGGTGTGCCTGTCCCAGGAATCCGCTGAAAACTCAGATGTCTCTGAAGAGCAGGCTCTGCAGCTCATCTGTAAGATCCTGCGTGTCTCCTGGAAGGAGCAGGACAGAGACGTCATCTTTCTCCCCTCGCTTGCTGCCGAGTTCCACCAGAGCAGCCCCAAAGACGGTACGGCAAAGATGCAGGAGATTTTGATATGATGTTCTCCTTGAATTGTATAGCTTTTCGCAGGAGAGTCCTAGATTAGTGGTTTAGGATTTAGTCATCTGAATGCAATAGCTATGAAAAAAAAAAATAATCCTCTAACCCAATGTTTCTGTTGAAATTTGAAGAAAATATTTGTATTACATTGAAATGCAAATCAGTTTGTGCAGTCAGTTTGTTTTCTGTCATGTATACTGTTGTATGTTGCACTGCAATGACAAGATTTCATTTACCTGTCACAAATGAAGTGTATGTTTATGATTTCTCTTCCCCCTCCCAGTCTACTCTGACTTCAAAGACCTGATTGGCCAGATCCTGATGGAGGTTCTCATGATGTCCACCATGTCGCACGTCCACAACCCCTTCGCCAGCCTGACCGCCACATCCCAGCCAATTGCTGCTGCCAAATCTCCCGACCACCACCTGACGCTGGTCCAGCCCTCTAGTCAGGGCGGCAGTCCCATGGCCCCCTGTGCAGGCTCGTTTGGGGCCAGCTCTCTGTCCAGGCAAGTACGCCCCAGTGGCCCCACAACTAGCCCCCAGTCCTGGGTAAATACAGTAGGGCTGTGTTGCAAATGGCATTATATTCCCTATAGAGCTCCCCTACAAAAGTAGTACACTATATAGGGAATAGGGTGCCATTTGGAGCTCAGCCTAAAACGTACCATTAGCATATATGGGTGTTCAAATTCAACCAGTGCCATTTAATTTATTGTCTGATTAGAAATCGTACAGGACGCCCTGTTGGAATCCATCCAATGGAATTCCTATATTGAAATCGAAGGAAATTGAATTGTTCCGTTTCTTGTAATTGAGGCCTAGTCAATGGGAAGTGTTGTCTTTTTTAAACTGGCACAGTCATGGTATCGTTCTCTGTATTCTTGGTTGAGTTTTATATAACACCTTTGTTTTGCGATGTTGTCCACAGCCTATACGGGTGTAGTCCACACCTGCTGGCTTTGAATGCAGCCAGGATGACCTCTACACCTCTACCCACCTCCACCCCCTCCTCCCCACATCCAATAGTAGCCCCAAGTCCCCCTACTATGGCCAACCCCCCTAGGCTCTCTCTCTCCGCCCCCCTGCCCATCTCCCAGCACCACCGGCCCTACTCTGTCACCTCTCCCTGGGGGTTCTCCACCCCCCCTTGCCCCATACTGGCTAGCCTCCCTGGGTTTTCCTCTGTCCCTGTCCCTGTCCCTGCAGGTCTCCCCGTACTGCCCATCGCCCTGGCCCAGGCCCCAGCCCCACGACTACCAACCACCCCCCAGTCGGTTCCCCTTCCCTCCCCCAGACCTTGCCCGCCCACCTCTATGCCCCTCCCTCTAGTGCCCCCCCCACCCAGAGCAGCTGCCCGACAAGCTGCCCCCGCCGCCCGAATCCCGTCTAGGTACCTCCTCAACCACCTGTTTGACAGTGACATGCAACAAGCTACCTTACTAAAACATTAATCCTCCCCCAGGCTCCGCCGCCCACGACATATCCCCCCTACTTGTGTAGGCCTATTGCTTTAATTATTATGGACAGATATGGGTGCTTTTCCAGACACAAATTAAGCCTAGTCCTGGACTAAAAATAGATTTCTATGGAGATTCTCCATTGAGTTGCTTTTTAGTCCAGGACTAGGTTTAATCTGTGTCTGGGAAACAGTTAGAGTTTAGGTTTACACATAATTCCCACCCACAAACCAACTCCAATTCTCTGATTTGGACAATTTACAATCATTGTCATAGAAACATATACAGTATATATAGATAGATAGATAGATAGATAGATAGATAGATAATACTCAATGTTTGGTCAGTTCAGACAATGGCCCAGTTCTAACAAAGAAAGACCTAGACTTGGAGCTGGAACAGTTTAATTGAGAAACGAGGAGAAAGACCCTAAAGTTTTGCTTGCCAATGCATTGCTTGTCCTGCATGTGTTTTTGTGAAACATAGCTCTTTGACTATGGTGGCTGTAGGAGCCTATGTGTCCTCCTTGTATCTTCTGATAAAATGTATTGATGGACATAGAAAAGGTCAGCACTAGGAGTGTAGTCTGGTGTTTTATTCCACAGTGAATCACAATCAAGGTTCAGCTAAAGTCAGAGAGAAGGCGTGCTAGTCATATCACTTCCTTCCTACGTCCTTTCCTCAGTGCTACCCTCTTCCTTCCCTACCCTCTCTTATATATGACCTGTGTGTCTAAACTGTCCATCAAATCTCCATCTTAGTCTTCATGTTTTTCCACCTCTCTTGTCTCCCCATCCTCACACCCTGTCCTCCTGCTTTATCCCTCCTTCCTCCACACCAGCCCCCTCTCCTATCTGTTCTTCGCCCTCTCTGACATGTCTCCGGACAGCAGCGAAGAAGAGCCTGAGGATGAGCAGGAGGAGGATTTTGCGCAGTTTCAGTTTGGGTCCAGGTATACACCGCTGCACAGCCTGTGTGTGTTCAGTAGACTCACCGGCATGCTTCAGCAGTGTGACAAGCCTAGCCACTAACCGCTGAGGTAACCCCAGGGTGATGGTCAAAAGTAGTGCACTATATAAGGAATAGGGTGCCCTTTGGGGCGTAGCCAGCGTTTCACCACTGCAGCCCAGCTGCTGCAGGCACAGGCTGAGAAACGTAGAGGCTGTAAACGCTAGCAGATTTTACGGGCCCTCAACTGTAGTTGAAGCTCAACCTTAGAGAAGTAGTTCATGTCAGTACAGATCAAGGCAGGGTGCTCAGCTTTGTGGTACTGGTGAGCTGGTCTGAATTGCAGTTCATTAAATACAAATATTATGACAAGGCTAGCATTGCAGTTAGTAGCATGATATCAGGTACTCAAGCACTAGGATCTTGGAAATCACCAGCATGAGTTTGGCCCAGGATTGTAATTTCCCTGTGAATTAGGCCTGTCATGTACTGTAGCTCAGATTGCCAATTTCTCTAGCTCTCGGATCAAATTTGTGATATGTGGAAAGGATCCAAAGTTTAGACTGTCTGTGAAGACCAGGCAAATAAGCCTTGGAAGTGCATGTCGAAGCCACTGTTTCATCTTTCTGCAAACAATGTTCAGATAAAACCCAAAGACGTCAACAGGTTTGAACGTGTCTCAGATAGTCTGTTGCTGCAAATGCTGCTTGCTGCAGCCCGGATAAACGATCTGCTAGATTGAAAGTGCAAGTTCTCCACCAATTTCACAAGACATTCAGTTCCCTGTTCTGTGCACTCAAGTCTCTGCTAGAAATCTGTCAAGCAGCCTTGGGCAGAATAATTATCCACAATATTCCTGCAGTCACTAAAAAGTTAGTTTGCTGCGGTATTGGCAGAGCATTTTCTGCAATATATGTGCAACACAGCCCTAGTGTCTCCTAGTGATAGTTTGTCACAAAAACCGGTATAAAATACTTTAAACATTTTTTTATTAACTTTTAGTGTCTGCAACTGTAAATAACATGACTAATGGTATAGCCAGAGGTTTGTGGTGGTGTGAAGCTGCTCACAGGTTACCCACCGGTCTGTCTTCTGAAACAGACCACTAGCAATGCATTAGCTTAGACCCCAGTGAACCCATGGGTGTGGTCAATGGATATCTCTGTAGAATCCATTACCTGGGTTGTGTTCATTAAGCACCAGATGGAAGAAAATGGACTGAAACAAGCCAGGAGGGAGCGAGCGACTACATGGAGTTGAACAAAAAGAAACACAAATGTTTGTTTTACTTCGCAAAACATTGCAAAAGGTTTTCCGTTGCGTGCATTAATGAACACGACCCAGCTTTAAGCTTCAAACTGCTATTGAGGGAGATTATTGAAGGAATTTTGTCAAATCGAAGAGTTTAGTTCACTCAAGAATTGTGGATTCAAAATGCTGAAACGCTGCGTTGCAATACTGTCGCTAACGTTTGACATTTCTTTCAGGAGAACTGGAAGGGTCGCTTATTTACCGCATTTGTCCACGTGGCTTGTTTCTTACGGTGCCCTGGTTCTTCTCCTATTGTCCTGTTAAATGTAATGACTTTGTCTCCCTCTGTTTTACCCTCCCTCCCTCCATCTCTCTGTGTAGTCTGGGTGCGTCTGGAGGGGGAATGGCCTCGGAATCCTGCGGCGACCGCTTCTCCATCGAGGCGTGCAAGGAGACGGAGATGCTCAACTACCTCATCGAGCGCTTCGACAGTGTGGGCATGGAGGAAAGGAAGGCGCCCAAGGTAAACTGGAAACACCCCAAACATAAATGGCTCCCCACCTTAGGGATGACCCGTATCTACTCATTTGGAAGTAGGGCTGGGAATTGCCAGGGACCTCACGATACGATATTATCACAATACGTAGGTGCCGATATGATATGTTCTGCAATTCGATACAGCGATTTTATTGCGATGATGTTCCAAACATATTGCTCACTATGTCTGCTGCAGAGAGAAAAGAGGCCGCATGAGAAAATTAGTTTTGATCAGTCATGGAAATAAAGGTGCTGAAAACATGTTGGTACACTATTAAAAAAATGATGTAGAACAAGCTATAGGATGAAAAATACCGGAGTTTTGGCGCAGGTACAGCCCACTAGTGCTAGCTAACTGTACTTAGCACCACATTTTTATTTTATTATTTTACAAATCAATACTTGGAGTCAAAGTAACATCGTCCAAAAATAATATAGCGATATGTAACTGTATTGGACCCCCCCCCCCCATCACTGTTTGAAGCATTTGGAATCTTAGGCAGAATTTTTCTTTCTGAAACACCATTTGAAGATAGTGTCCCCAAACAATACTTACTTTTCAGCCATGCATGGTGTGCTATGCCTAAGACCGCAGGTTGTAGCAGAAATGTCCTGAGAGAAGGCAAAGTTAAATTTGCATGTCGGAACACTCTTTTCTGTTAAAATTTGTGTTATTTAAAAGAGAGACGGATATGGACAAAACACATGAACATAAACCTCTCGCAACAGCCAATTGAGTTCAAAGAGCCTGACCACAATTAGGGCTGTGGCGGTCATGACATTTTGTCAGCCGGTGATTGTCAAGCAAATAACTGTTGGTCTCACGGTAATTGACCGTTAATTAACATAAACATGTTTAGCATCTCCTGGCTTCCACACATAGCCTACAAGCCACTGATGCAGACCTTTTGGAACATCTACATTTAAAAAAGTATTATAAATCCATTTATTATAGCCTACACCATCACAATAAATCCATTATTTATTTTAGACAGGTCTGAAGAAACATGATATGAAGAAAATTTAGTTTATTTCAAAAGAACAGAATAGCATACTCTGAGTTGTCCTTATGTTAGGCCCTGATCTGGCTATGCCATATGGCTGTGGGCTACACTAGTTCATTCAGCAGACAAGAGTTGCTTAGAATTCCGTGGCATTATTTTACAGTATGAAGAATACAATTGAACATAGCTGATTAAAATAGAAAGTATATTTTCTCAAAACAATTTCTGAGGCAGTGCGCACATGCGGCTATTCTGTGTTGAGCGGTTAACAAAGAAACAGGTCCTCCTATATGCTTAATTTAGAGTTATTTATGCAAATGTAGTTGTGATATAAACGTTGGGCTATAGGTTTAGATTTTTAATACATTCTGTAGGTAATTGCTTAGCCTAAAGAAATGTTGCACAACATGAGCTCATGGGCTCTCGTGAAGTGTTTGATTTGATTTTCAAATACATTTGCATTGATGTTGGAGTGATAAGAGGGACAATAGTGCTGAGTACCAGGCAGTTGGCAAGTTTGGTAGGCTACTAATGACCATCAGCAGCATCAGAGCACAGTTTTGGAGAAGCCTAGTTACCATGACTAAACAGTCACGTGGAATTTGACTGCGGTCATGATTTGTGACCACCGGTGTGGTGGTAATACGGTCACCGTAACAGCCCTAACCACAATACCGCTCACGATGAGAGAAAGATCCACTCCTCTGTGACCAAATTATGATTCGGCAGCAGAATGTGGAGACGGGGTCACCTTGACAGCCCTGATGGTGACAAAACAAACTTAACTTGTACTTCTCTCTCCTTCTCTGTCTTCTCAGATTTGCAGCCACCCCAGTGTCAGCCAGCTCCTCAGCAACATACGCTCACAGTGTATTTCCCACGCCGCTCTTGTCCTTCAGGGCGCTCTCACACAGCCAAGGTCAGTCTGACACCTTCCTGTCACCTTCTGTGACCTCTCACAATACTGTGGTCATAATACAGTCATTTCTATTATTCTGTACATCAGTGTTTCCCATGCCATTGAATAGGAGTGTCTAGCTGTTTAGCTATGTTGCCTGCTTGCCTGTTAGTTTCAGATGACCCATATATTTTATGTATTTTTTTTTTGGTGTTATTTCAATTCAAAACTATTTCGGCAAGTGCAAATAGATATATATTTTTTAAAGCCCAAATATCCACTCATAGACACATGGAAGAAAGCAGCAATTAACTTGTCAATTGACAATTATGATGCCTGACGGCCTGGATGTTGCTTTCGCCTTGAAATTAAACTATGGAAAATACATGTTTTGTTCTTTTGTCTGCTATTTCAGCACCCCAAGCAGGTGCTACTATTCCAGCATCATAGCAACCCTAGCACAATAGCAACTAATCTATTATTCATTGGGTTCACATATCCACATAATTTTGCCATGTCTTTTACACCTTTGCTCCCCCACTCTAGTGTTTCCTCTCACCATGCTCTGAGCATGTTAGTTAGCATGCATGCTCTACCACTTGTTAAAGGGCAGAATACAAGAATACGATGCAAGAATTTGGTACAAAAATAGGTTTGTTCCTCAAAATAGTATTGGCCAGGTGACTTGTTCAAGGTATGTTGTGTGTCTGAGTAAAGCCTAATTCATACCCTACGCAATACGCATTGCAAGAATGAAAATTAGCTACACAAAATGCTGATCTTGCATAGGTGCAAGCGTGTGTAGCCTCACAGTTTAGTAACTCGGCGCAATCAATCAATACAATTTATTTATGAAGCCCTTTTTACATCAGCAGATGATACAAAGTGCTTATACAGAAACTCAGCCTAAAACCTCAAAGAGCAAGCAATGCAGATGTAGAAGCGTGGTGGCTAGGAAAAACTCCCTAGAAAGGCAGGAACCTAGGAAGAAACCTAGAGGAGCCAGGCTCTGAGGGGGTGGCCAGTCTTTTTCTGGCTGTGCCGGTAGAGATTATAAGAGTACATGGCCATTAAGGCTAGATTGTTCTTCAAGATGTTGAAATGTTCATAGATGACCAGCAGGGTGAAATAATTATCACAGTCGTTATAGAGGGTGCAACAGGTCAGCACCTCAGGAGTAAATGTCAGTTGGCTTTTCATAGCCGAGCATTCAGAGAGAGAGTATTTGTATTTATTAGGGATCCAACACATTATTACACATAAAACAAAAAATAAAACAGTACATCATATAACATTATTACACCACTACATATCTACAATACAGTATAATAGCACCATACAACAATATTGCACTGTATGTGTGTAGAGTGCGCATGCTAGCGCCTGTGTGTGTCCACAGTCCCCGCAGTTCCATAAGATTTTTATTTATCTGTTTTTTAAATCTGCATCAGTTACCTGATGTGGAATAGAGTTCCATGAAGTCATGGCTCTATGTAGTACTGTGCACCTCCCATAGTCTGTTTTGGACTTGGGGATTGTGACGAGACCTCTGGTGGCATGTCTTGTAGGGTATGCATGGGTGTCTGAGCTGTGTGCTAGTAGTTTAAACAGACAGCTCGGTGCATTTATCTTGTCAACACTTCTTACAAAAACAAGTAGTGATGAAGTCAATCTCTCCTCCACTTTGAGCCATGAGAGATTGACATGCATATCATTAATGTTAGCTCCCCATGTACATTTAAAGGCCAGCGGTGCTACCTTGTTCTGAGCCAATTGTAATTTTCCTAAGTCCCTCTTTGTGGCACCTGACCACACGACTTAACAGTAGTCCAGGTCCGACAAAATTATGGCCTGTAGGACCTGCCTTGTTGATAGAGTTGTTAAGAAGGCAGACAGCACTTTATTATGGACAGACTTCTCCCCATCTTAGCTACTGTTGTATCAATATGTTTTGACCATGAGTTTACAATCCAGGGTTACTCCAAGCCGTTTAGTCACCTCAACTTGATCCATTTCCACATTATTCATTACAAGATTTAGTTGAGGTTTAGGGTTTAGTGAATGCTTTTAGTTAAACTGGATCAGCAGCCCGGCCAGGTGGACTGGGGACGAGGACAGCCAGGAGTGGCCAGGTAGTCCTGTGGCATGGTCCTAGGGCTCAGGTTCTCCGGGAGGGGAGAGAGAAAGATGGGTGAATTAAAGAAAGCATACTGAAGATCACACAGGAGAAATACACCAGATTGGACAGACTGACCGTAGCCCCTCGGCACATACACTACAGTGGCTTGCGAAAGTATTCACCCCCCTTGGCATTTTTCCTATTTTGTTGCCTTACAACCTGGAATTAAAATTGATTTTTGTTTGTATCATTTGATTTACACAACATGCCTACCACTTTGAAGATGCAAAATATTTTTTATTGTGAAACAAACAACAAATAAGACAAAAAACAAAACTTGAGCGTGCAGAACTATCCACCACCCCAAAGTCAATACTTTGTAGAGCCACCTTTTGCAGCAATTACAGCTGCAAGTCTCTTGGGGTATGTCTCTATAAGCTTGGCACATCTAGCCACTGGGATTTTTACCCATTCTTCAAGGCAAAACTGCTCCAGCTCCTTCAAGTTGGATGGGTTCCGCTGGTGTAGAGCAATCTTTAAGTCATACCACAGATTCTCAATTGGATTGAGGTCTGGGCTTTGACTAGGCCATTCCAAGACATTTAAATGTTTCCCTTTAAACCACTCGAGTGTTGCTTTAGCAGTATGCTTAGGGTCATTGTCCTGCTGGAAGGTGAACCTCCGTCCCAGTCTCAAATCTCTGGTAAACTGAAACAGGTTTCCCTCAAGAATTTCCCTGTATTTAGCGCCATCCATCATTCCTTCAAATCTGACCAGTTTCCCAGTCCCTGCCGATGAAAAACATCCCCACAGCATGATGCTGCCACCACCATGCTTCACTGTGGGGATGGTGTTTTCGGGGTGATGAGAGGTGTTGTGTTTGCGCCAGACATATCGTTTTCGTTGATGGCCAAAAAGCTCAATTTGAGTCTCATCTGACCAGAGTACCTTCTTCCAAATGTTTGGGGAGTCTCCCACATGCCTTTTGGCGAACACCAAACATGTTTACTTATTTTTTTCTTTAAGCAATGGCTTTTTTCTGGCCACTCTTCCGTAAAGCCCAGTTCTGAGGAGTGTACGGCTTAAAGTGGTCCTATGGACAGATACTCCAATCTCCGCTGTGGAGCTTTGCAGCTCCTTCAGGGTTATCTTTGGTGTCTTTGTTGCCTATCTGATTAATGCCCTACTTGCATGGTCCATGGGTTTTGGAGGGCGGCCCTCTCCTGGCAGGTTTGTTGTGGTGCCATATTCTTTAAATTTTTTAATAATGGATTTAATGGTGCTCTGTGGGATGTTCAAAGTTTTGGATATTATTTTATAACCCAAACCTGATCAGTACTTCTCCACAACTTTGTCCCTGACCTTTTTGGAGAGCTCCTTGGTCTTCATGGTGCCGCTTGCTTGGTGGTGCCCTTTGCTTAGGGGTGTTGCAGACTCTGGGGCCTTTCAGAACAGGTGTGTATATATTCTGAGATCATGTGACAGATCATGTGACGCTTAGATTGCACACAGGTGGACTTTATTTATCTAATTATGTGACTTCTGAAGGTAATTGGTTGCACCAGATCGTATTTAGGGACTTCGTAGTAAAGGGGGTGAATACATATGCACGCACCACCTTTCCGTATTTTTTTTAAAAAACAAGTTATTTTTTTAATTTCACTTAAATTTGGACTATTTTGTGTATATCTGTTACATGAAATCCAAATAAAATCAATTTATATTACAGGTTGTAATGCAACAAAATAGGAAAAACGCCAAGGGGGGATGAATTATTTTGCAAGGCATGACCAAAATTATGTGTGCACCTGCTCATCGATCATCTCATTCAAAATCATGGGCATGAATATGGAGTTGATTCCCCCTTTGCTGCTATAACAGCCTCCACTCTTCTGGGAAGGCTTTTCAATAGATATTGGAACATTGCTATGGGGACTTGCTTCCATTCAGCCACGAGCATTAGTGAGGTCGGGCACTGATGTTGGCGATTAGGCCTGGCTCGCAGTCGGTGTTCCAATTCATCCCAAAGGTGTTCGATGGGGTTGAGGTCAGGGCTCTGTGCAGGCCAGTCAAGTTCTTCCACACCGATCTCGACAAACCATTTCTGTATGGACTTCGCTTTGTGCACGGGGGTATTGTCATGCTGAACAGGAAAGGGCCTTCCCCAAATTGTTGCCAAAAAGTTGGAAGAACAGAATCATCTAGAATGTCATTGTATGCTGTAGCGTTAAGATTTCCCTTCACTGGAACTAAGGGGCCTGCACCTTGGAAAAACAGCCCCAGACCATTATTCCTCTTCCACCAAACTTTACAGTTGGCACTATGCATTGGGGCAGGTAGCGTTCTCCTGGCATCTGCCAAACCCAGATTCGTCCGTCGGACTGCCGGATGGCGAAGCGTGATTCATCACTCCAGAGAATGTGTTTTTACTGTTCGAGCTTTACGCCACTCCAGCCGACGCTTGGCATTGCGCATGGTGATCTAAGGCTTGTGTGCGGCTGCACGGCCATGGAAACCCATTTCATGAACCTCCCGACTAACAGTTATTGTGCTGACGTTGCTTCCAGAGGCAGTTTGGAACTCTGTAGTGAGTTGTTAGACCGAGGACAGACTATTTTTTACGCTCTACGCGTTGTTACTTGATTTTATACACGTCAGCAACGGGTGTGGCTGAAGTAGCCGAATCCACTAATTTGAAGGGGTGTCCACATACTTTTGTATATATAGTATAGACTATTGCAGCATAGATACTGGGAACTGAGACGGGGGGGGTCGGGGACACTGTGGCCCCGTCTGACAATACCCCTGGACAGGGCCAACAAGGTAACCCCACCCACTTTGTCAAAGCACAGCCCCCCACCACCAGAGGGATATCAACAGACCACCAACTTACTACCCTGAGACAAGGCAGCGTATAGCCCACGAAGATCTCCCCCACCACACGAACCCGAGAGGGCGCAAGACCAGGCAGGAAGATAACGTCAGTGACAACGCACTCAAGTCGAGCATAGCGAAAAAAATGCTGGCAAGACCTGATGCACCCCTTCTGGGACGGCTTGGGAGAGCACTAGCAAGCCAGTGACTCAGCCCCCGTAATGGGGTCATTATTATTATTATAATTTTTTGGTTCTAGTCAAGATTCTAGCAGATGTATTTAGGACTAGTTGAAGTTTATTTAGTGCTAGCCGGAGAGTAGAGCATTGCAAAATCATGGATTAGCTTTTCTGCCAAATATTTTGACAGTTTCAAATTTTTGCAATGTTATGAAGATGGAAAAAATATGCTCTTGAAATATTTTTGGTATGTTCGTCATAGTAACTCAATGCTTTTAGTAACTTGACGCAAACATACGTACAATATAAAGTAGGCTTTTGTTAGAATGCCTGTTCTGCCAATTGTTAAATGGTAGAAAACAAGGATACAATGCACATTTTCTTATTCAAAATACACTCCTAATTTGCTTTCAAAATAGTGTTTGGCCATGTGACACGGGCCAGGTATGTTGTGTGTCTGCGTGAAAGCGTTCCTCCTCCCCTTGCCTCTCCACTCAGGAGCCCCCTGCAGCAGTCCCTGCTGGTGCCCTACATGCTGTGCCGAAACCTGCCGTATGGCTTTATCCAGGAGCTGGCCCGCATGACCCACCAGGAGGAGGTCTTCAGACAGGTGGGCTCGACCGAGAGACAGACAGACTGACACACAGATATACAGAGACACACACAAAAACGATGCTTTTATTTGTGTGACATTGTTGTCCAAGCTTGTAGACGGTAAGGCTGATAATTAAAAGGTCAATTAGAAAACATTTGGTAATTGAGAATTCGATCAATTAGTCAAACACTTGAGAAAAACCATGTGAAATGCAGAATATTTTTTTCCCCTATTATACCAAGTTCTCCTGTACATTTCACCATGTTGATTTTCAGCTATGTTTACTGTGGTGCAATCCTCATTTGCTCACATGCTCTTCTTTGTCTTTCAGATCTTCGTTCCAATCCTTCAAGGGCTGGGCCTGGCCGTGAAAGAATGTTCCTTCGACAGTGACAACTTTAAATTCCCCCTCATGGTAAGGTGGCAGCGGAGAAGTAATGCGTGCTTGCGGTGCAGCACCCTATTCCCTACATAGTGCACTACTTTTGACAGGGCACATAGGGAACATGTTGCCATTTGGGACGCGTCTTAATATGGTCTTTTAGATTCTGGCTGGCAGCCTAGAGAGCCTGTCTCACCCGGGCAGTTTGAGATGTGCCAAATGTATAATGGATTATGTTCCCGGCACGGACTTGCCCGGGTGGTCGACGTGAGGCTGAACCTCTGCTAGCGTGACAAGCCAATAAACCCTGAGCGAACCTTTAGGCTCCCACCATAGAAATATAAATTATAGAATGGGAATTTCCCGTTGAAGTCAATGGTTCTATTATTGGTGGACCGGTCGCCATATTGAGTGTGCACGTGTGTTCCATTCAAATTGCCGTGGTCTGAGGGGCTAGTAATTCTATTTCTATGGCTCCCAGTACTCAAACTTAAAGGCTGGGTAACATGATTGGACATTTCTACACACACCACATCTTGTCACACCTGTCGTAAGATGACATCGGGTGTTTTCTTTTTACACCAGGGGACGGAAACTTTATTGAAGATAACATTTGAATATGGTCATTTAACAGTCAATGGTCAATGTTATGAGGCTATTTCGGATGGGTGTTTATTTAACGTTTACCTACAACGTGTCTTTTTTCTACAGGCTTTAGCTGAGCTCTGCGAGATAAAGTTTGGGAAGACTCACCCCATGTGCAATTTGGTGAGTGTGTTCGGAGAGACGGAGACATCTTTCTTATGTCTTTCTTCATCTATTACAGAATTAGTAGGGGTTTAAAAGTACACATTTTTGTACCGAACCGTTCGGTATGGGGACCTCGGTTCGGTCCGCACTGTGAACCTGAATGAATACATAAAACATTTAAACACTAGGCCTATAGGCTATGCCTACGGTGCATTGTATGCTTCTTGAGTAAATCTGATCTGAAGAAACATTTTCAGGCTATTCTGTTAAAACAACTAGAGCCTATGTGCACCTTGTAATCAAAATTAAAATCTTAGTCGTCGCACTTTAAGCTGTCTTTTTGTGAGGCGCAACTTGTTCTGTACGATGGTGAGTGGTGAGGTCGATAAACCAGGAGAAATATCCATAATCGTTTAAATCTCCAGTTTGGGAACATTTTGGCTTCCCAGTAGATTACTATGGCGATGGACAGAGAGACCTCAAACGTTGTAACATTTACACCGACATCACCCCAGTATTCCTACCACCGGAGCAAGACAGAAACACAAAACCACAACCACACAACTTCATCTTCCCTGTACATTCAAGCAGCACTTCACAGCTGATTCTGACCGGGCCAAAGAAATTACAAGAGCGATAGGAATGTTTATAGCCGCGGATGTGCGCCCATTCTCAGTGCTGGAGAAGAATAGGGGGGTTTAAGCACCTCATGAAAGTGCTCGAGCCATGTTACGAACTTCGCCCTCTCGCACCCATTTCAGCAAACCGGTACTACCCGCTCTATATAATCAAGCTAAAGCGAAGTTGTCAATGAATTGGCCGATGCACCCTGTGTTGCGCTTACTACAGATGGATGGACCTCCTGGGCTACAGAGCTACTTAACAGTGACATCCCATCTCATTACCCCGGAGTGGGAAATTAGAAGTACGGTGCTACAGACACGCCCCCTTTATGAGAGTCACACAAGTGTGCATATTTTTGTCTTTGTAAGAAAACATTATAGCATAGACCTATACCATGTCTGAGACATGTTCACAACATTATAGCACAGGCCAAAACAATGTCTGAGCGATGATTACATATTGATTTCACATGCATATTGCACTGTATTTTAGTGTTGTTGAGTAATTGTGTGTTTTTATTTAAGAATAAGAAAAAGTGTTGGTATTGCTGATTGCTCTCATCAAGCATTATATGACTCATAACCATATGAAATTAGGAATCCCAAAACTTTAACAAATTTACTTTTGCATTTTATTTTCCCGCTTTACCGAAACCGAACTGTGACCCCAAAACCGCAATACGTACCCGAACCATAGGTTCACCGTTACACCCCTAAGAATTAGGTAACAATCTCCTCCATAGCACCTCATAGTCCAAGGTGTTGACTCTCTTCTTCCCCACGGGAAGACAAAGGATACGTCCCAAATGGAACCCTATTCCCTTTGTAGTGCACTACTTTTCACTAGGTCCCATAGTGCTCTGGTCAAAAGTATTGAACTATAAAGGGAATAAGGTGCCCTTTGGGACGTAGACAAAATCCCCTTATGCATGACTAAGGAATATATACCTTCGGAAAGTATTCAGACCCCTTGACTTTTTCCACATTTTGTTAGGTTACAGCCTTATTCTAAAATTGATTGAAATTGTTTTTTTCACTCATCAATCTACACACAATACCCCATAACAACAAATAAAAACACTGAAATATCACATTTACATAAGTATTCAGACCCTTTACTCAGTACTTTGTTGAAGTACCTTTGGCAGCGATTACAGCCTCAAGTCTTCTTGGGTATGACGCTACAAGCTTGGCACACGTGTATTTGGGCAGTTTCTCCCATTCTTCTCTGCAGATCCTCTCAAGCTCTGTCAGGTTGGAAACCTGCTATTTTCCGGTCTCTCCAGAGATGTTCGATCGGGTTCAAGTCCGGGCTCTGGCTGGGCCATTCAAGGACATTCAGAGACTTCAGGGACCACTCCTGCGTTGTCTTGGCTGTGTGCTTAAGGTCGTTGTCCTGTTGGAAGGTGAACCGTCGTCCCAGTCTGAGGTCCTGAGCAGGTTTTCGTCAAGGATCTCTCTGTACTTTGCTCCGTTCATCTTTGACTCGATCCTGACTAGTCTCCCAGTCCCTGCCGCTGAAAAACATCCCCACAGTATGATGCTGCCACCACCATGCTTCACCGTAGAGATGGTGCCAGGTTTCCTCCAGACGTGACGCTTGGCATTCAGGCCAAAGAGTTAAATCTTGGTTTCATCAGTCCAGAGAATCTTGTTTCTCATGCTGAGAGTCTTTAGGTGCCTTTTGGCAAACTCCAAGCGGGCTGTCATGTGCCTTTTACTGAGGATTGGCTTTCTTCTGGCCACTACCATAAAGACCTGATTGGTGGAGTGCTGCAGAGATGGTTGTCCTTCTGGAAGGTTCTCCCATCTCCACAGAGGAACTCTGGAGCTCAGTCAGAGTGACCATCGGGTTCCTGGTCACCTCCCTGACGAAGGCCCTTCTCCCCCGATTGCTCAGTTTGGCTGGGTGGCCAGCTCTAGGAAGAGTCTTGGTGGTTCCAAACTTCTTCCATTAAGGAATGATGGAGGCCACTGTTCTTGGGGACCTTCAATGCTGCAGATATGTTTTGGTACCCTTCCCAAGATCTGTGCCTCGACACAATCCTGTCTCTGAGCTCTACTGACAATTCCCATGACCTCATGGCTTGGTTTTTGCTCTGACATGCACTGTCAACTGTGGGACCTTATATAGACAGGTGTATGCCTTTCCAAATCATGTCCAATCAATTGAATTTACCACAGGTGGACTCCAATCAAGTTGTAGAAACATCTCAAGGATGATCAATGGAAACAGGATGCACCTGAGCTCAATTTCGAGTCTCATAGCAAAGGGTCTGAATACTTATGTAAATATGTTTTTATTTGTATTTTTTATGCAAACATTTCTAAACTTGTTTTCGCTTTGTTATTATGGGGTATTGTGTGTAGATTGCTGAGGATTTTTTAATGTTTTTAAATACATTTTAGAATAAGGCTGTAACGTAACAAAGTGGAAAAAGTGAAGGGGTCTGAATACTTTCCGAAGGCACTGTAAGCCTATACCGTATTTAGCGACACTATAATCGTGCCAATCAGAGTTTGAAATCAGTACGAACCATTTATGTAAGGCAATTCCATTAGTTAGTAATAGTGCCTTTAAATTAACATAGTTGGTGTCCTCGTCATCCTACTTTGAGCTTGAGCTGGATTGCATTACAAAGGTCTACAATAAGCAGAAAACACAAACATGCTTTCACATTGCCAAGGAGTGTTGGACAGGTCACATGCAATTTGAATTGTCAGGCTAGTGGTATTGGTGACTGCCTTTACCAAGTATGGCTTAGTGATGTAATAGTCACCTCATGTATGTGCCTGTCTCGTGTGTGTGTGTGTGTCCTGTCCAGATGACTTCTCTGCCCCTGTGGTGTCCCAAGTCTCTGAGCCCGGGGATGGGCCGAGAGGTCCAGAGACTGTCCTTCTTGGGAGCGTTCTTCAGCTTGTCGGTCTTTGCAGAGGATGACGTGAGTAATAGGAGTAGGGTGAAGTTGCCCCTAGACGCTGATCCTGGGTCAGTATTGCATTTTCTACACTAATGGTTAAGGTTAGAATTGTGGGAGAGGAAGCTGATCCTAATTCTGTACCTAGAGGAAACTTCACCCTGGAGCTAAATGAATGTCTGCTTGTGTGAATCAATGCAATGTGGCCCAAAGAGTAAAAGGAATGTAGCCCAGCAGCACTGCTTGTCCCTTGGAATTGTGTGAATTTACCAAGTTTGCTGAATGTTAACGTCTTTCTGGTGTATCCTATTGCCTAAATTCACTTCATAAAATGCTTAATCTAAAGCTCACATATATACAAATGACCTTGAAAAGTTTATATCAAATTGCTTCCAGAATTATGTTGCCATTCTATTACTTTGACCAGCAAAAAAAAAAGACTTTGTATTTGGGGTCTTTTCCTACTCAGACCAAAGTGGGTGACAAGTACTTCTCGGGCCCAGCCATCACCATGGAGAACACTCGCGTGGTCAGCCAAACCCTGCAGCACTACCTGGAGTCAGCCCGGGTAAGTCCCACCCACCTGGCAGGGCTCTACAGTGCGACCATTTTACTTGCATATGTGCCTAAATATTTTGCTTTGCGACCTGGAATCTTTTATTTAGGAGCACCAGTGCCCCGAGAAAAAGTTCAGGATTCTAGCTTTATTAACTCAAATATTTTTCATTGTGCTCCTAAGTTTCCTTGTGAGCCTACATTTTTCAACTTGGGCGCACATAAGCTCCTTGTAAAAAAAGGTCAGCGTAGAGCCCTGCCTGGGTCTATTATGACTTTTCCTTTGCCCAAGTATACTTCCTTCAAGTTGGTATGACATAATACTTTTTTATATGTTTCTTTGTCAGGGTGACTTGTTTAAAATCCTCCACAACATCCTACTGAACGGAGAGACAAGAGAGGTAGCGCTCAACTACATGGCAGCTCTGGTCAACCGCAATGTGAAGAAAGCCCAGATGCAGGTAAAAGACGTAAAGCTTAGTGATCCTAGCCTATTTTGATTTAATCTATGAAACATCTGTATTGAGGGTTTCTAATGTGACCATCATTTCAAGCTAGAATGTCTGGCCCCAAAGTCTGGAGAGACCCACTGCTATTCTAGCACCCCCCCCAGTTGTTCACTGTCCTATCGGAAACAAATACAAATATATATGAATAACAATAAAACAAATAAGGGAATCATTGAGCGGTACTTTATTTCATATTAATTATCTTCCCCTCCTCCTCCCACCTCCTCCTCCCCTCTCGCAGACGGACGACAAGCTGGTGTCCACGGACGGCTTCATGATTAACTTCCTGTCGGTGCTGCAACAGCTGAGCATGAAGATCAAGCTGGAGACTGTAGACCCCTACTACATTTTCCACCCCCGCTGCCGCCTGCAGGTCAGCCGTGAGGAGACCCGGCTCAAGGCCACAATGGAGGAGCTCAATACCTGGCTGGCTGAGATGCGTGAGTGGACACCCATAGATAATATAACAGTAAATACGTGGATGTTATAGAGCCCCTATGCATCAGAATGGAACAATTTGTCAGCTCTATATTTTTTTGCTCTATATCTAGGTGGACACCACCAGTGTCGTCATAATAATGTTTCAAGTTTTAATGACAAGTACAGTGAAATGCCTTTCTTGCAAGCTCCAAACCCAACAATGTAGTAATCAATATCAATGTAGCACCATTTTTTTTTACATAAGGTAGAACAAAACACAAAATAAATAAAAAGAAAATCACGGTCACTAACGTCACCCTACCAGACGAGCTAAACACCTTTTTCTCAAGATTCGAGCACAATGACCCTGAGCTGCCGAGGAGAGCCCCCACTCAGTCTCCACTGAGTAGGTATGTAAGATTCAAACGTGTTAACCCTCACAAGGCTGCCGGCCCAGATGGCATCTCTAGCCGTGCCCTCAGGGCATGTGCAGCTCAGGCCTCTATATCCACCTGCTTCAAAAAATGTAAAAATGTAAGATGTCCACTATCATCCCTGTGCCCAAGAAAGGGAAAGTTACTGAACTGAATGACTACCGACCAGTAGCACTCACTTCCGTCATCATGAAGTGCTTCGAGAGGCTAGTCAAAGACCATATCACCTCCTCCCTCCCCGACACACTCGACCCTCTCCAATTCGCCTACTGCCCTGACAGATCCACGGACGACGCAATCACCATTGCGCTGCACACTGTCCTTACCCACCTGGACAAAAGGAATGCATATGTGAGGATGCTGTTCATCGACTACAGCTCGGCCTTCAATACCATAGTGCCCTATATGCTCATTACAAAGCTCACAGCCCTGGGTCTGAACTCCTCCCTATGCAACTGGGTCCTGGAATTCCTGACCGTCCCCAGGTAGTGAAGGTAGGCAACGTTACCTCCTCGACGCTGATCCTCAACACGGGGGCCCCACAAGTGTGCGTCCTCAGTCCCCTCCTGTATTCTCTGTATACCTACGACTGCGTGGCCTCACACAGTTCCAACTCCATTAAGTTTGCTGACGACACAACAGTAGTAGGCCTGTTATCAACAACGACGAGACTGCCTACAGAGAGGAGGTAGGCACTCTGACGGCGTGGTGCCAGGTAAACAACCTCTCCCTCAACCTTAACAAAACAAAGGAGCTGATTGTGGACTTCAGGAGGAACCAGGACGGGCCGCCGTGGAGATGGTCAATAACTTCAAATTCATCTGTGTACACATCTCAGAGAAGCTGAAATGGTCTAACCACACAGACACCGTAGTGAAGGCACCACAGCGACTCTTCAACCTCAGGATGCTGAAGAAATTCATCCTGTCCCCGAGGGCTCTCACAGTGTTCTACAGGAGCACCATCGAGAGAATACTGTCGGACTGCATCACAGCCTGGTACGGCAACTGCACTGCCACGCAAGGATCTTCAGAGGGTGATATGTGCAGCCTAACGCACCATTGGGTGCACACTGCCTGCCCTACACCAGGTGTCGCAGGAAGGCCAAGAAGATCATCAGGGACCCCAGCCACCCAAGCCATGCCTTGTTCTCCCTGCTTCAATCACTCAGACGCGGGCTGTACAGGAGCATCATGGCAAAAACTGAGACTGACCAATAGTTTCTACCCTCAGACCATCAGGCTGCTGAATAGCCACCACTAGTCGGCTACTTGCTCCACCCTCGCCCTGCTACTCCCCCAATTAACATTATTTCTCCTGATGCTCCCCCCTCTTCTACTCCCCCTATCGATTTTCACTGTACCCTGCCATCACACCTGCAACCCTGTACATGTGACTATTAAACAATCTGAATCTCTGAATATATACAGGGTCAGTTCCAAAACCATATTTACAATGTGCAGGGATACTGGAGTAATAGAAGTAGATATGTATAGAGGTAAGGTGACTAGGCATCAGAAGATATGATAAACAGAGTAGCAGCAGCATAAATTATGATTTTATGTGAGTGCGTGTGTGTAGAGGCAGTATAAATGTGTGTGCATGTTATGTGTGTGTGTTGGAGTGTCCGTGTGCGTGACTGTGTAGAGACCTGTGAGTGTGCATAGAGACCAGTGCAAAAATACAACAAGTGTAAACTCAGATAGTCTGTGTAGCCATTATGTTAGCTATTTAGCAGTCTTATGGCTTGGGGATAGAAGCTGTTCAGGAGCCTGTTGGTGTCAGACTTGATGCACCAGTACCGCTTGCAATGCGGAAGCAGAGAGAACAGTCTGCCTTGGGTGGTTGGAGTCTTTAACGATTTTCCGGCCCTTCCTTTCACACAGCCTGATATAGAGGTCCTGGATGGCAGGGAACTCGGCCCCAGTGATGTATTGGGCTGTCCGCACCACGCTCTGTAGTGCCATGTGATCGAGGGCAGTGCTGTTGCCATACCAAGCAGTGATGCAGCCAATCAAGATGCTGTCAATGGTGCAGCTGTATAACTTTTTAAGGATTTGATGGCCATCATGACGATTATGAGAAGTGTATTACGTTGAGATCACAGCTGGGTTCAATTGGTATTTGTTTTCTTTCAAATGCTTGAGCATTAGATTGAGTCGGCCCGGGGTACCAAAAGTTTGCACTTTTGGAACTATTCAATTTGTTCTTTTGTGCCAGGCAAGCTCAATCAAGCGCAGCTAAAGTATTTGAAAGAAAACAAATGCTATTTGAACACAGGTCTGGTTGAGATTATGCAAAGAAACATTGAAGACCCCATTTGTAGGCACACTGCTCATGTGCATTACAGAGGCTAATGGCTATACAGAACGTTTGCCTCTAGGGGTTCTCTTGAGCCAGCTTAGGACTCCTAAATGGATAGGGGAAAGGGGCACACCTCCCCACACATGAACAAAATCATATAGGCCTATTGTTTGCAGAAAACAAAGTATTTGTGTGGTTTAGTTGTAATAAGCAATAGTGCATCCTTAAAGGCGCGATATGTAGCTTTGTTCACGACCCGACCAAATTCACATAGTAATGTGAGTTACAGATCTGTCTTTCTCATTGAAAGCGTCTAATAAGCGGCATTGTCTCACGTCTGCACTGATCTGTCTGATAACTCGCAAACACTCATGGGATACAGTGGCGTGCGAAAGTATTCACCCCCCTTGGCATTTTTCCTATTTTGTTGCCTTACAACCTGGAATTAAAATGGATTTTTGGGGGGTTTGTATCATTTGATTTACACAACATGCCTAACACTTTGAAGATGCAAAATAGTTTTTTCTTGTGAAACAAACAACAAATAAGACAAAAAAACAGAATTGAACGTGCATAACTATTCACCCCCCCCCCCCCCCCCCCCCCCCATTCTTCAAGGCAAAACTGCTCCAGCTCCTTCAAGTTGGATGGATTCCGCTGGTGTACAGCAATCTTTCTCATACCATAGATTCTCAATTGGATTGACATCTGGGCTTTGACTAGGCTGTTCCAAGACAGTTAAATGTTTCCCCTTAAACCACTCAAGTGTTGCTTTAGCAGTATGCTTAGGGTCATTGTCCTGCTGGAAGGTGAACCAACATCCTAGTCTCAAATCTCTGGAAGACTGAAACAGGTTTCCCTCAAGAATTTCCCTGTATTTAGCGCCATCCATCATTCCTTCAAATCTGACCAGTTTCCCAGTCCCTGCCGATGAAAAACATCCCCACAGCATGATGCTGCCACCACCATGCTTCACTGTAGGGTTGGTGTTCTCGGGGTGATGAGAGGTCTTGGGTTTGCGCCAGACATATCGTTTTCCTTGATGGCCAAAAAGCTCAATTTTAGTCTCATCTGACCAGAGTACCTTCTTCCAAATGTTTGGGGAGTCTCCCACATACCTTTTGGCGAACACCAAACATGTTTGCTTATTTTTTTCTTTAAGCAATGGCTTTTTTTCTGGCCACTCTTCTGTAAAGCCCAGCTCTATGGAGTGTACGGCTTAAAGTGGTCCTATGGACAGATACTCCAATCTCCGCTGTGGAGCTTTGCAGCTCCGTCAGGGTTATCTTTGGTCTCATTGTTGCCTCTCTGGTTAATGCCCTCCTTGCCTTGTCTGTGAGTTTTGGTGAGCGGCCCTCTCTTGGCAGGTTTGTGGTGCCATATTCTTTCAATTTTTTTAATAATGGATTTAATGGTGCTCCGTGGGATGTTCAAAGTTTCTGATATTATTTTATAACCCAATCCTAATCTGTACTTCTCCACAACTTTGTCCCTGACCTGTTTGGAGAGCTCCTTGGTCTTCATGGTGCCGCTTGCTTGGTGGTGCCCCTTGCTTAGTGGTGTTGCAGACTCTGGGGCCTTTCAGAACAGGTGTATATATATATATATACTGAGATCATGTGACACTTAGATTGCACACAGGTGCAACTACTTATGTGACTTCTGAAGGTAATTGGTTGCACCAGATCTTATTTAGGGGCTTCATAGCAAAGGGGGTGAATACATATGCACGCACCACTTTTCCGTTATTTATTTTTTTGATTTTTTTTAAACAAGTTTTTCTTTTTTTACTTAACCAATTTGGACTATTTTGTGTATGTCCATTACATGAAATCCAAATAACAATCAATTTAAATTATAGGTTGTAATGCAACAAAATAGGAAAAACGCCAAGGGGGATGAATACTTTTGCAAGGCACTGTAGCTAAAAAGAACTTTGGCTACAATATGCTGTCCTAACATTAGAAAATGTAATCAAGGTGACATTGTCCACTGAACCCCCTTTCATCCTCAAGTCAGAGTTAATCTTACCAAAAACTAAACCTGTAACTAATATTGACGTTTTTTTCATGAGCAAGTTTTCACTACCTAATTGTACATCTAGCGGTGGTAGAATCAGTATTTATGAAATTCGAAATGTGCATGGAAATTAGCTAGCAAAAGTTAGCTAGCTGTTGTCTGCTTGCTGGCTGAACCAGTCTCAAATCAATTAATATGAAACTAATTACGGGATGCTAACAACGCCGGATCACACACTCAATGCTGAATACTCCCTCTAGCTCGCTACTGTAGTGAAGTTCTAGCTAATGCA